ACGAGTAGTGGAGTACTCGCGTGTAGTTACTAAATCCCCATAAAAACAAAAACATGGCATCAACATTATGAAGAAGGAAGTCACTATGAATAAAAAGCATGGAAGGCACACTGCATTCTTTAGCAATGAGATATCCTTACTCTGCAAAATTTTGGCTAATTTTACTTGAAAATTCATTGGTGGGGAGTGTTAGTGGAAACAGATGGAGGTAGTGATTCCTCTATTGCAGGGGATGTATTAAGACAAAGTACAAGTTTAGCGCAGAATGCGCAAAGTGGTTACTTTTTATAAGTCAGCACTTGTGAAAAAAATTGCTACTCGCGAGTACATGTACCTACCTCTACTCACGCAAGGACAAGTACTCGAGTAGCCAAAAATCCACAAACAGTACGAGTAGCAAACACTACTCATGAGTACTCGAATACTTGGGAAACTCGCCCAGCTTTACCAAATACCCTGTGAAAAAAAGTCCAGCTAAAATTGTATCGTGTGGAAGAAAACTAAGGTGGTTTCAAATAGGATGCCTGCTGACACACTTTTTAACATGTATTAGCAATGGAATCCTATTACAAGACCCCCCCAAAAGGTGCATTTATGTTTTCTCGGTTTTTTTAAACTGTACCCAATCAATCTACTTAGCTGAACCTGCAACAGGTTAGTTGTCATGCATGGTGCATGACACGATGCACCCTGCTTAAGATTTTGAGCAAATTTGTTGCTTCAAATGAAAGTAAAGGCACAAGAAGCAAATAATCATATGTACCTTTTAAGAAAGTTGTAGTCCATTAGAGACACACTCTCAGAAAAAATGGTCCGGTTAACATTGTTAACTTATTTCTTATGATGGGACTGCGGTTTGGCCGAAGTCAATTGAGCGTGATCGGCTGACTGATAAGGTTTACGTACAAAACCCCAAGCCAACGAGGTTTTTGTATAGAGAGCTGCCGGACCACATTTTGCGAGAGTGTGTCTGTAATGCATTAGGATTATACAAGAAGTGTATTGCATTGCTTCTGATGGTAAATGGGAAACATCAAATGTGAACGTTTTTAATAGTTAAATGAGTCTTGCATGTGTAGGATTAGTCATGATCATGATAATCTGAGACCAGATTTGGACAGCACATGCAATCATGAAAGCCATGTATTCATCTGAGTGCAATGTGTAATTATAAAACATCAAGATGAATTTGTATTCCCTTTGTTTTAAGTTACCATAACTTCCAAAGAATTTATATACGATTTAGAAGTGTTTTTGTCATTTCGTATAACCTTCGAGAGTGAAATACATTTTAACTTCAAAACAATGTGTGTTACAGTGAAGTGCAAATTTGCCTTGTTCAAAGTATTTATGCAAATGCGATAAGGTTTTCTGTCATGGATGTTGGTATGAACGTAGATGATGTGGATATGATTCACCTACTTTAATGTAGTTGTGTTTGTCATTTATAATACATGTACACCATATAGTTATTAAACTTATCAGAATTTTTGTGCTGTAAATTTTGGATTTTTGTGACTTGGTTTAAATATCAACAGTCACTTCTTTCATATTTCAAAAAACTATATTTCCAATGGCAAATTATTAAAGTAGATGCGGTGTTTGAAATGAATCAGACTTTCTATTCTATAAATGTTCTAGTTTTCTGGCAACGTGATGTTAGAAATGAACTCTTTTGAACTTTTAATAAAATTGTATTTTCAATGGCAAATTTTATATTAAATACATGTACATGTAGATCTGAGCCAATTTACTTGTTTCAGTCAAATTATTCTGTGTGAAAGATTGACCATTTTCTCCTCTGGCTTATTTCATTGTGTCACGCTTAATTTCTTGTTTACAGAATCCCAATGTTTTCAAGTAGATGTCATGGCTGATGGAAAGTACTCAAGAAAAATAATCAAATCCAAATTTAAAATATCTTGAAAAATTTAAGTATCTTCCTTTTCTTGTACATATATTCAATGGGGAGTGCCCAGGGGAGTGCCGATAAAAGCCTACAATCGTGCACACTACATTACCTAATAGTGTACAGGGGCGGATCCAGGAATTTCGCAGGGGGGGGGGTGTTACATCAGCCAAAAAATCCGATGTAAACAGGTGTTTTTTTTCCGGACATTTGGCCTCCGTAAAATTAAAAACTAGGGGGGGGGGGGCTGGTTCCATATTTTAATAGGGGGCGCTGTTCAAATTCGACGATTAGTAACGCTAGTAACGCTAGATTACAGACTGGTGTGCCGTATTTTGAACAGGGGTACATTATACCAGTATAATTTTTTAGGAATTTGTATGATAATGGGTTTTTTTTACTTTTTTTTTTTTTTTTTTACCCCAACCCCCCTCCCTCTAGATCCGTGCCTGGTGTAAAATTGATGGCCCCTGCTCACAACTGTTTTTTTTTAGGGGGGGGGGGGGGGGGGGGGGGGGAGAGACCGTTCGAATGTAACATC